ATATTTTGTTCTATTTATTATTTCAAATGAAATATATTCTAGATCATAAAGTGTTAAAATAGTTACAAGTTTTATATCTTTCAACCCTACTGCCCATATTCCTGAAAGAAAGGACTCACTTTCTAATAATAATAATAATCCTTGCATTTGATATTGCGCTTTTCACGTCGGGAGGACGTCCCAAAGCCCTTCATAGAACACACTGTAAAGTGAATTGACTGTATTTGTGGGCGAACGCGGCAGCCAATTGCGCACAGCAATGTCCCACAAACAGTCATATGGATTGAAAATGACCAGTTTATTATTGTTTTTTTTTGGAGGGATTATTATTAGGCTCTGTGTGGAGTAAGGAAACTTGCCCAAGGTTTCGCTCTGCCTGGAATTGAACTCAGGTCTCTCACTTGCAAAGCGAGTGCTCTAACCACTGAGCTACAGGACTCCACTTTAGGATATGGTGGGCAGATCTGTTTAGTTCTTCTCCATAACCCGCACAATTTAAGATTTTGACAATTTGTCCAGTCATTGACACATAAATTGGTACATCTACCCCCTATGCTGTCAAGGCAAATATAACTTGCACGCAAAAATATCCTGTAAACAGTCATTAAGTGAATAATCAATTTTATATGGGGGACTGTTACCCAAAAGTTTATAATGTTTATGTGGTGAGGATTAATCTCAAAGGAGCAGACAAGTTCTAATCCATCTCGTCTTTTTTTAGATAATAATCCTTCAAGAAAAAAAACAATAAATTGGTCAATTCAATCCACGACTGTTTGTGGGACACTCCTGTGCGCAATTGACTGCCGAGTTTCGCTCACAACTATACAGTCAATTCACTTTACAATATATTCTGTGAAGGGCTTTGAGACATCTAGAAGACGTGAAAAGCGCTATATCAAATGCAAGAATTATTATTATGAAAGGAGAAACTCCCTTCCTTCTTCCGAGAGGTACCATGGGATTTTTAATGTCCACCTGAACAGGCAGATGGAACCTTAGTTTTACATTTCATATACAGGAAGCACCTCTGATAATGCAATGTACCCACATATTTTCTCTGGAGTATCAGCCTCAATTCTCCCAACTTGGGATTTTTAAAACAAGGAAAATTAGGCACCTATAATAGTATGTTTTCACAAAAAAGTCACAAGTACTTGTAAAACATATTCTTCTTTGGTCTCGTACACCAGTATAGTCTCATCAATCCCAGTTTCCCAAATAATGCAAATTCCTTGGGACTGATCTCGTCAACCACAATCTCTCTGACTGGTTTCTTATCTGAGTGTTAAAGGGAGTGTTAAACTAAGCAGAGGCATTGTGAGAAAACAATCAAGATAAAAAAAACACCAAATCCAATTAGTCTGGTTAGAATCTAGTTACAAATAGACAAGGAGAAATTGCTGATGAAAAAAATTTCTGGCGCTTGAACTTTATGTATTGGGTCATGCCTTAACCATATATGGGTAAAACAGAATGAGAACTGAGGTACAAGACCTGTGCGCTTAGCACAAGAGATTTGAAGCGAGGCAAGTAAAGAAATGAACAGGGTCAACTCGTTTCCCAGAGGAATCAGGTAATGCCGTTTTCTCTGTAAAACTATCACTTTAATCTTTGTGCAGGTTAACTTTGTATTTGTTGACTGAATAAAATTGCTTGTCATTGCACCACCATTTTGGTAGTCTCCTGCAAATCTCTCTGACTTACATAGTGAAGATTAGTTCAATCAGAGAATAATGTATACCCTGTTTACCAATAGAGGTAAACTACTGCAATGAAGCAGCATCGCTGTCAGCACTGTAGAGACATGGAAACCTGATTAAGACATCCACCTCCACACTACAGTGAATCAGGTCTGTTAAAAACAAATACCCAATTTCAATATTCTGTGCATGTAAAACTGTTGCCAGAAAAGTACTACAGTCCCTCAGAGACCGTCAGTAAGTAAATGCAGACCAAACTCAACCAATAAGTACAGTTTAGAGGCATGTAGCAAATATTTTCAGGCTTTAGTTCTAGGAAATGGACCACTTGCTGTAGCTACTTTGAAATGATCCACATTAGGTGCCATCCAACACTGCCATAACTTCTGCATCAGTTCCCAGTTCAGTTGTATACTTCGGAGACCAATACTCATTGTGGCTAATTGAAAACAGAAGAGCAAATCCCCTTTGATTTATTTTTAAAAATCCACTTTTAAAAATCCACGTTTTCTCTTATGGGAAGCATAAAATGCTTGCTTTGTTTTTGGTGAGAGGTTCTACTTAAGCACTGATACCAATTGTTGGTACAATTGAACAAACAACAACTTGCACTCACACATCTTTCACGTGGGGTAGCGTATCGGAGCTCTTTTAGACTCGGTGCTCCCAAGAGAAAATGACACCTGTTGCAGCAATCATCTCGGCCATCAACTTGAAGCATTAAAAGTTCCTGTCTCTCCTTTTGAATGCTGCACAGTATAAACACTTTTCTGGGACATGGGTGAAACAGATGCTGCAGGCATGAACCAGGGCTACGTTTGCACGATAGGCTGCTTCAAAAACACATTANTTTTTACCTCCCCTCACCTACTCTATGTGAGATATACCCAACACCAACAATTACGTAGATTATTAGGCCACTATCGGAGTTAAAACTAGTGACCCATGTCATTATTGACTGTGGTAATGTGAAATATTAGACTAGAACCTTTATTAATTGGGGAAGGGGAAGGAGAAAAAAGTACTCGCCTTTAATCTTATCTGAGCATTCTCTAACAATCACCCACATCCTCATTACTAAAGCTTCATCTAGCACTGGTGCTAATGTCCCTAATCAAAAAGCTTTAACTGCCTTCTCCCTGCAGACCTTTCTGTAACCATGTGAATGACTCCAGAAAAAAATGTGGACAGACACACACACCAAATTGGGCTAGTTCTTTTATCCAAGCAACCACTAGAGTATACTCTTCGTTTTCCAGTTGCACTGAATGGGTTTCTTGGAATTGGCAGACCCACGAGAACTAATCTAGTTTTGCTATCTGGACTATACAGTCTCCAGGAACAGAGTGCAGATTTGAAAGGAATGCGAACCCTCAGGGATCTGCCCAGGAAGTTTACGTCTTCTCATCAGAACTTCTGGACTAACAGAAAGTCCCAGAGGAAGCAAGGCAATGTTCCCTCATCTCCCTCATAGGAGCATTACATGCCTGACCACTATCCTTATACTGAACATGTTTAAAGTCAACTAGCTGTACAATAAGATCTATTCAAGTCATAATGTTGTATTACTTTCAATCAGACATTCCTGGTGGCTCTGTATAAGCCCTCACAAATGTATCACCATCAGTCTTTCCAGATTTCAATTCCCACATCCCTCGTCCACAATTCACAGATTGTCCAGGAGGGAGAGTCAAGTACCCCAGCAGTAACTCAATACGTAAAGTATTCACCTAAGAACAGATACCCCATTCATTACTTCTTAAAGAACCAAGCCTGTAGAATTGTGAGAACAAGTTAAAAATAACAGTACATCTGTGGAATATATTTTTTGTGCTCCAGGATAACATAAAGAGTAACCAGTGATAGCAATGGAAAGATTCAATAAGGTTTGAAATGCAAGCATAAAAGGAGATAGGAGAATCTGAGAAAATATACAGCACAGTCACACAGCTATATTGAATAGATCCATGAAAAAGGCAAGCTTGATAAAAAATGACTTGCTGCTTGTAAGTTATAGTCAGTTGCGGACTATCAGTACTAGGCAGAATATATTCAAAATTATACAGCAGAATAATTAAACATTCTGGATAGTTATATTTCTTAAAGTATAAATATGGAAATGTGAAAATCAAAAGTGTTGTTAAACATCAGCTAAACGACCAACTGTCCAGCAGAATGAGCAAGCGTTTTACACCCAGTCAGCCTCTGCACTTTGGCACACAGTCCAGCTAGAAAAAGGAAGTGGGTAGCACATCATGCAACTAGTAGGAGCTCTGGTTTCTTTGTAAACAAACCTCTACTCCGTAATTATAATCATTACAAGGATTCATTTTGCTAGAAAAACTCAATTCCATGTGGCAAATTCAATTGAAAGGAGCTTCAAGCTTTTGTTTTCTACAAAGTTTATTTTATATGCAAAGTAACTTTTTAAAAAAATGTTGTTCTAACAAACTCCTAAACCCAGCTAGTCCTGCCTCTTTCTTGCGCTCCAAACTGACTGGAGGGATAGATTTGCTGTCACTTCTTACACTTTACAATCCGGCTACCCATCATATCACAGGTGAAATGCATGCAGCTAGACTGCTAACCAACTGTGCATTGCAGTAATTCAATGGAATGTGTTCCCTTTCAAGTAATATTGGGCTTAATTTGCAGTATTTTAATGTATTCTTTCAGAAGGACCCCACATCGTGCAAATGGAGACATCTTCCAGTATCAGGACATGTGTCATATTGTCTACAGAAATTCCGTTCTAACAATCAAATTCCAGAGTAGGGATCCTGAAGATCAAGAGCAATTGTTGGTTCCAATGAGGAAATTCCGCTAAAAATTCCACAAATTAGATCAGATTATTCAAAAAATTAGAGTTCTCAGTAAGTGAATTTTAGAAATGTAATGTGGTTAACCAGATTAATTGGAGAGAGTTTGGTTTCTTAATTCTTTGAGAAATATTAAAAAATATACATTTATAAATTCAATGAGAAAAAGTTAATCAACTGCAAAAAGCTTAATAAAATAAAAAGTGGAGACAACATAGCTTAAAAGAAAACAAATTAATTTGGAAACTGTCTCCAGTATAAATGTAGTCAAGCAAAATCCAAAATTGTAATAGCTCTATTATAAATCAATACATTAAGGCCCCACAATGCAGCATTTTTATTGGGCAACTGGCATCTATAAAGAGATTTTTCAAATGAAGATTTTCTTAGCAAAAGAACATTATTGATATTTTGAACTACAAATTATTAGTTTTCTGATATTAAAGGATTTGAGATGTTATGAATGACATAATGGTACCTGCTTGTACAGTTGCTGAGTCCCAGGTCAAGTCAAATTCTGAAGATTCACTTTCTTCAACTGAAACAAAATGCAGAGAGACCTGGTTATATCATCATTCATACCCTCTGAATGTTTTAAAACCGAACAGATGAAACACGCACTTCAATGCCTTTTTTGCTTGTAAATGTCATTCGCGAATATGTGCAGTTGCATCTCCCATATCAAATCATCCAAGGTGGAGGAAACATGTGACATAATTAAACAAGAAAACGCAGTCAATAGGTTCTAATTAAACAAACATACTTTCAGTTATTGACAACTAGGTAATCCAAAAAGTGTCAATAAGCATAAAATGATAATGCTATTCCTTCAGAGAATAATGTAAGAGAAACTATCCTGTATCAAGAACCAGACAAGGTTATTCTGATAGTGATGTTCATGTAATTTCAGATTTTAAAAGTAGTACACGTTTAGAGGAACTTATGAATTGGTTATGCAAACAAATAGCATATATAAAACAGTACACATAACAAATGCACTCTATGTTTTGGTTACTGATGATTATAAAATAAGATTTGCTCTCCACTCTTTTGGTCCCTAGTTCACCCATGGACAAGAAGACAGACAAGGGATCTGCTCCAAGCCTCCAGAAATGTTACTAGCCAATACTATTAACAAGTACTCGAGAACCATCAGGACAGATTGACCTGTGACTTTTGCTCTCACAAACTGAACTGTTTTAACTTCTCAGCAATGATACTCCATCAGTTTGCTATTCCTTGGACAAAGTTTAGAATCTCAGTCTCAACCTGTATTTGAACTTTACTTCACCTATTCTTGATTGGACCCACAAGATGGAGTGGCTTGCAGCAGCAAAATAACCCAGTTTAAAAAATAATTAACATTATGGAACACTATACTATGCCTCTTTTGGGTTTTGAGCAGAAATGCTGAAGACACCACACAAACAAAACATATTCCCTCCAGGTTGATGGTGAACGGTACAAGCAACAGAAAAAAAACGTTGAAGTTGTAAAAAGATTCAAAATTAAACTAAACCACAAAATAATTGAAATACAGTATTAATATGCCCAAGTCATAATTGAGAGATGCAGGTTTGCAGAAGCAAATGCCTTAGGGACTCTGAAAGTGCTCTTGATAACAAGACACAGTTGAACCTATTTCTCATGCTGAATAGAGGTATTTTAGTTTTTTTTAAAATCAAAGCAAGCAGAAACCAAAATAAAGGATAAATACTTAGACAGGAGAAATGAACACTTATGAGAGGTTTGGAGGAATGTCCATAAATGGTCCAGGTTTAATTCCATAAACGAGAAAAACCTGCAAGACAAACTTAATTTCTTCATTCATTTTTGACATGGTATGGAAGACTATAGGTACCTTGAGGTTTGGGGAGCAAAGAGAGCAAATCAAGCGGTAGAAACCATACTCCAGAATCCATACTGATCTATCAAATACCAAATCATGTTTGGGCAGCAGTATCAATATGGTTACTCCAGATGTCACCCCATAGATCAACTATCGTTCGTTCCCCTTTGAACAAAAAGCCAGAATGTTGTAATGCTGCAGAAAGGCCCAAATTTCAGCGGTTTTCAGAATACATTTCAAAATAATTCATAGAAGTTTCTATGGTCTAACACCAAACCCATCTGCCAGTTCTAAAGACTAATACCTGTCAATCTGCACGAAAGTAACATAAATCAGAATGCTTCCTCAATTGAAATACACCCAGACTGTCAGATCTGAATATACCACACAGTATTCTTCCGTGACTTTTGCTCACTCCTGCAGTGAATTCAATTATTGAGAACTGTTTCCTATGCTAACAAATTCAAGTGAAGAAAAGAACAAATCAACACAACTCCCGATTAGTGCTTGGAAGTCAGACATTAGAGGCATCTGCGACAAAGACAAATTAAGGAAATAGTTGTCAACAAGCATCCTGGTGGCTGAACAAACATCCAAGAGGAAAGCAATGGTGGCATCCTAGAACCACTGTTAAGCGCCCTGAGACACCGCCTAGCATGGAAGGCACTATATAAATGCAAGTTGTTGTTGTTGTGGAACCAGGCCACCAGCATTCTCAGTGGTAGAGGCATATGATGCAAATTGATACACTGAAGAGAAATTAGAGAATGGAAGATAGATACCCTTAACAGAAAATATGATTCATGAAATTCAATTCCACTTACCCAGTTTATGGTAATCAGAATTATTTCTTTAATCCTTAATCTCCTTGATGATTTACTTTACCACTAAATCACCAATCCAATATGTATTTGGACAAATACAAGCGTGACATAGCAGGATCTTGTTGTTCAAGGACTGCCATTTTTGGTCTGGATTTAGTGGAAAGGTATTATGTAGCTGACACTGGTTATCAGATCAGTCTGCAAGAAGCGACATAGATCATAACAAGACATGTTGTTCTTCATTTGATGTTGGACAGAAAATGCCTGAACTACAGAACTTCAGCACTTGCTGGTCACAAGAATATCAGCTGCACAAATTGATTTCATGACAATCTCTTTGCAATCAAAATATATTACAATATAAAAAAAGCTACAAGTGCCATCTCAACAATAAATATGACAAAACAAAAACATTACAATCTGCTTAAAACATATTTCCAGTACCTGATCAAATAGCAATTAGTTCTAATTACCTGTTTGAATAGCAACAAGGAGTCCTAAGAATTTTCTGAGACCGTGCAATAAAACTGCAATACTTATTCTAACCTGAATATATGAGACGCAAAAAACTTAAACGTCCACAATTAAAAAACATTCTCATGTCGCAATGAAAAATTCCAAGTAGCTAAAGCAGGAGTTCACACTCAAGAATAAAGCAGTTCATGAACTATAAAATACAATGGGTGGATCAAAATAGGATTCTGATCTGCCAAATGTTTCAGCCCTTTGGAGATTCATATTTTTCTGTTCTGCTCTGGATATGGCTCAATGCCATGTGAACTAGGTCTTGTGAACAGCTGCTGGATGGAGTAAACTAATGACTAATTTCAATGAGTAATTTTTCTATGGAGGGAAGGGGGGAGAAGAAAATATGGAAATATCAATATTCAGTTAGAAATGTACTCAATTCACCTTTAAATTGTTCTAATTAAATAAATGATAATTTACAGAACTTACCATATTAAAATGTGCATTTACAGTAAACAGGGTGGAAACTACAATTAGAAATGTTGAACATTTGCTATTTTACACATGAACTGTAGTATATTTATAATTAACCTTTTGCTTCAGATTGTTGGCCTAGACAAAATAAGTCACTCAGGATTCTGGGCAGTAACTCAGGTAGAGATTTAAACAAAACTGCTGTATCAAAAACTTTTAAAGTCAAATTTGTTTCAATTGTATTTCATAAATTGTCAGTGGAAAACATACAGCTGAAGGTTTCCATCACTTCCTGATCAAATTCCTGTACGTCACAGCAAAGTCTAGGCTGTGGTCTGTAACACAGGTGCTTGTAGAGTGCGATTGCAAAGTGCAGGCTGCTTTAACTTAGACTGCACATGATTCAGGTCAAAATTAGTAGAAAATGATTGCAGACCATAATCTTTAGATTGCTGACAATCTGTAAACATATTTGTTACTGAGGGTTTTGATCAAAACATTCAATTTATCGGGCAAATAATATATTTTTCTTGTAATTCTACAATATAGTTTAAAAAAATGTAATGGATGTAGGGAATTTTTCTGAAATGGCAGGACAAAAGCTGAGAAATAATGCTCTTTGAAACAATTAGACCATCAAAGAATATTAGGATTATCTACAATGTGTATTCCTCCTTGGTCTTTTAAAAGAGGTTCAATCTTTACATACACATCAGCTTTTGCTGTAGTACTTGAGGAAACTGATCTTGGAAAAATGTACACTTTACCATCAGCTTAAGTGAAACTCTTCCTTCCCTCTCCCAAAAGAAATCCTTTGGGTGCAAGAATAAAGTCAGGAGTTTCCCTAGCCAAGAGGGACTTTTTCAATGACTTGCCTCTAAAACCTCCCAAACCATGTCATCAACTGTGTCTTTGGTCAACACTTTAAATCTCTTATCGCCGTGTCAAAAGTCTACCCAACACATGTTTTTTTTATAGCAAGTTGTTGAGGATTTCCACTACAATGCGTCACTTAAAAAGACAACCAATGAATAGGCCCACTGGTTCCTTCTAGGATTGTATTATCCAACCTGTCAAGGACATTTGGTCCCTTGAGTAAATCTGCTGATCCAAGGGGGTATGCTCTTTAGCTTACATAGACCTAGCAGTTTGCTTTATTAATTAAACCAACTCTTTCAGTCAGTTCCAAAACAATTCTTAGCCTCTGCTAATACTGTTTTACAGTGCAAATTTCATTTTCCAGGTTGTTGATTACAGGAAATAACAGCTCAATCAGCTTTTTTTAAAAAACAGTCTGATGAAAATTGTTAGTCAGCCACACAAAAACAATGAGTGCATTGTGGTTCCTATATTGAAAATAATCCATGGCAAATCATTGCAACAGTTCAGTCATTTGACCAATGCTATCTAATGTTAACTCATGCCTGGTTCTCAGGAAAAGGAAGAATGTATCTCTGTCATTCAATCAGTGCCTTCATTTTACCTTGTGCCCCTTCTATGAAGCCACACACATTTGCAGGCCTCCTTTTCAGCACACTTCTTCCTGTTTGCAAAATGTTTACTCTGTTTTCTGCCCCATTCCCAATATCCTGCTCTTATTCTAAGATGGAGAACACTAACTGCAATTATTATAATCATTTTCGCATTTAATTTGGCACCTATGGTATCCAAACGTTTCAAACTACTTCACAGGTAATTGCTGTTAAGTGTAGTGTCTAGTTACAGGTCGACACGACAGCCAATTTATGCCCAGGAATGTTTCACAAACAGCCAGCCTTCAAGTGAATTCAATTTATCTTGTTACCATCTGGAACAGGATACCAGGAGAAAATCCCTTCTTTTCAAAAAGGGCCACGGACTCTTTAACATTTACCTGCTTAGGCAGAGAGGACCTTGGTGTAATGTCTCACTCAAAAGATGGTT